CCCGCGTCACCACTGCGCAGACCTTTGCGGTCCGGAAAGCGCGTCGGGCGCCGGCGGAGTTGGACCCGTTCGGGCTTCACGCTTCGCGCGGGCATCTCTTCCTCCTCCGGGGCACCGAGGCCAGGTGAGTACCGCGCGGGCGGCTTCGCGCCAGGACAGCGGGCGGGCAGCGTTTGTACGCTGAGACGCGAGCTCCTTGACCCGGCAGAGTTCCGGAAGGTGATGACCTCGAAGCGGAGACTGTGGCTCCGGGGAACGCACCACTAGCTGGGGTGATGGATGACGGGCTGCAGTAGTCTCCTCTCCTCTTCCCAGCTCAAACGGGTTATTGGCGGTGGTCATGGCGAGGGTCAGCCCGGGAAAAACTTCCTATAGGAGAGGAGTGGGATGAACTCAAGGAAGGGCAGCTGGCATTTTAGGCTTGCAGGCCAGGAGCTGTCCAGCCTGGCGTGGAGTCCTGGGCTGGAGTTTCCCGGGCTTGCCTGGGATTGTTGAACAGAGAATTGAGATCTAGGAATCCTTGTTGTAAATGTGGGCCGTGGAATCCAGCCATCGCCTCATCCTGCGGCTGTTTGAGGACTCCCTGAAAGGTGCTGGTTGGAGTAGAGCTCTACTGCCCACTGTACCTCTTCACCCCAGCCCCAGCCCCATGGTGAAATGGCCCTAGCCTCGCCTCCACCTCTAACAGAGATCTGGGTCCTAGGAAGTCTTCCATTCCTTCTGTTCTGTCCTTGCTCTCACCTCGAATGGATTCATAGATTCCAAAGCCCACAAGTTTCTGATCTCAGGGCTGAGGTGGGATTGGGGTGAATCAGTTCTGTGCAGTGAAGCCTCAGAGTGTGAACAAAGGTGATGGCGGTCAACTTGCTGCAAGCATGATCCAAAGGTGGCTGGGACAGAGTTGACAGTGACATTGGGCGTAGGCTGTGCTCATCTGGGCCTGGAACATCCCAAGAGCAGCTTCTAGCTAACTGCCAAGGAAAGGGTTGGGACAGGATAGGGTCGCTGGCCGTTGGCCATCGGCCTGGGCAGGCTTTTTTGGCTTCCATCCTAGCTGTAGGAGCTGTGATGAATCCCTGTATCTGAACCCAGCTAGGGATGCTGGGCCATCCTGAACTCTGGCCCAGGAAGAGGTCACCTTGAGGTAGCCCAGATCCTTCTTGTCCAATTGCCTCTTTGGCCCTGTCCCAAACGCAGGAGGTCAGACTGAGGCTGAAAGTCCTGCAGTGAAGTCCCCTTTCCTGACAGTCCTAACCAGGCCCATGTCACGCTGAAGCTTGGGCTTCCAACCTGGAGCAAGAGTAACTCGGTCCATTCTTTCTGGTCCTTGGTTTTCCTTCCTGTAAACTGGGAATAGCAGCCCACCTTTCTCATCAAGGTAAACAGTGGTATGAGACAATGGGAGTAAAAACCTCTCAGAAAGGGCTTTTACTCTGATCATTCCTATTGTTGTTGGGTCTGGTGGATGGGCAAATTCTCATATCTTGAACCAGATCTCAGTTTTCTCATCTGTAGAATGGGGTTATGGAGGTTTGGGCCAGTTGACCCCTCAGGCCCTTCTAGTTCTGTCGGTCACATATAAATATGTTTATTGGAGAATAGAAAATGTCCAGTGTTGTGATATCTAGACTTTGGAGTTGCCACTGAAGCTTGTAGAATGATTACCATTGGGCATGGTGCTTTCCAAAGTGCTTTTATGTCCATCCTTTTACCTGTGCCCTTCAGCTCCATGAGAAAATTCTGAGATTATTGTTAGTGAATAGATGAGGGAAATGAAACTTGCCCAGGGATGCAGGACATGTGTGTTCCCACTCATTCTCCTTGTAGCTGTGGTATAGGGGAAGGCATTTTGGCCATCAGGACAAAGGGACCCCATAGTTTTATCTCTGCAGCTTTCCCTCCTGCTTGAGGGCAGGCCAGGGCTGGCTGGGACACTGGAAGCTGTGTCAGTAGGTCTGTGTTGAATAGAGGGGCATCTGTAGTAACCAACCAAAACCCAGCCAAAGTAAACCGAAGTGAAGCTAGACTTCTGGTTACCAGCTTGTCATTCAGCAACCCCATTACCCCCACCAGCAGCCTGTGACTTTGTTTGGGTTACTTTGCTCTTAGAGCCTTCGTTTCTCCATCTTAAAATGGGCACAGTAATGCTTGTGTCTCAAGATTGATCTCAGGCTCCAAGGATGTAATAGAGCAGGTAATTTAGGTGTTTTTTACATGTTAGACACTGCCTTGGGGTAAGTAGCACTGAGAGCCAGGAACAGTTTTTTTTTTTTTTCTTTCGAAATTTTAGACCTGTAACATTATGGGCTCTTCAGTCATAATTTTCTTGGGAGTTAAGTCCCCCCCCCACCAGAAAGTCTTAACACCCTCCTCACTTTTGTTACTGAAGACCCTCTGGGACACAGAGGACTGCAATATGGCCCCTGGCCTACAACTGCAGTGAAATGGTCCCTCTCCAGGAGTACCACCTTCACAGACCCCGAGGACACCATCCTTGTATATAGCCACAGGTGCATACATGGAGGTTGGATACCCAGCTGATCCACGAAGACTCACTATGGTGAGGGCCTGCCATCATCTGTGCATTTACACACACACCACAGACACACATGACAGACACAAGGTCTCACACGGACAAGCATACTGATTCACAATAGGACCGCATGGGCTTGTATCATTAGGCTGAACATTCAGTTATATAAAGTAACACCTAATGACAAATACGGGTACGTACCTAAAAGGGTAAACACACCCTTGTATAGGTTGAAAGAGGCCCAAGTAGGCCTTCCTTCCCTGGCACCAAGGTACGCAGACCTGTAGGCCTGGGGGGTTACAGACATGCCACATTGTTACACAGATAGGCACACCTTTGCATTCACATGTTAGCTGGCAGAGCTGGCCAGTCTCTCCCTCTGGCCCAGATGCTCAAATACAAGGAGGCGTAGCCCCACACATCCTGGAGACACACAGATCCACATAGCCACACCCCCGAAGAAACTGCACAGGGGCTGGATGGCAAAGCGGAAGGGGCTGTGCTCAGCGCAGAGTTTGGTCCATGCAGTTGGCAGCAGTGCTAGTTCCGAGGAGGCAGGGAAGCCCTTTATTTTCGTATTTTTTCCCACTCTCCTTCCTTGTCTGTGGAAGGCAACTCCCAGTGGATCTCGGGCTCCTGGGCCTCCCTTCCCAGTAGGGACTCATGCACAACCCGCCCCCAGGCTGGAGCTCCAAAGCTTTCCCAGAGCAGGCAGCTTCCTCCAGGCTCTGGAGTGTGACCGAGCGCCTGCTCATTTGACACAGGTCACCGAGCCTCCAGCAGATGGGGCCCTCGCTGTGGGGGGTCTCTGAGCCTGAGAGGGGGGTGGGGGTGGGGGGCTCTGCAGGGTAGAGTGGTAGGTACACAAGCTTCAGCCCTGTATACACTGTAA